CCCAGGGCACACGCTATCCCCAGGGCACACGCTATCCCCAGGGCACACACTAAGCCCAGGGCACACGCTATCCCCAGGGCACACGCTATCCCCAGGGAACACGCTAAGCCCAGGACACACGCTATCCCCGGGGCACACACTAAGCCCAGGACACACACTATCCCCAGGACACACACTATCAACAGGGCAGACGCTAAGCCCAGGACACACGCTAAGCCCATGGCACACACTATCCCCAGGACACACACTATCCCCAGGACACATGCTAGCCCAGGGCACACACTAGCCCCAGGACACACGCCATTTCCCGGGATATAGGTTAACTCCAGGCCACACAGTAGCCCCAGGGCACACGCCATTTCCCAGGATGCAGGCTAGCCGCAGCCCCAACACATTATCACTTAAAACAAAGCCTCAGGAAGCCTCAGCAAGTGAGCTGTTCAGCCCAGGGCAAGGGCGTCTCCCTCTGGCATTGAAAATTTCTCACGCAGCCAAACATGGGCAAAACTGTCACTTCCCAAAGTCGGGCCGCACCTCCTAGCCCAGCTGCTGAATCCACCACCTGCGAGGGAAACGGGATTTCCGAGCGGTCCAGGTCTAGGACGCCGCCCGCAGGCGCCCAGCGCAGTGAGCCCCTCCTACATCTTTCAAGAGGGCTGGGCTGGTGACCCCTCCGTGTGGCTGAGCCCAGCAGGTTCAGCGGGGGGTGGATCCTCGCAGCTCCATGAGTGAGATGAGTGAGGGGGTTCTGGGGTGGGGGGACTTGAGGCTCCCTGGTGGGTTGAGACCTGCTGGCCCAGTGATGGTGTTAGGAACCGGCAGGGAGACCCTAGCAGCTGCCCGAGGCCATGAGTGAGGGGGTGGGGGGGAACTTGAGGCAGATGGGGAGACCCTAGCAGCTGCCCGAGGCCATGAGTGAGGGGTGGGGGGGAACCTGAGGCAGATGGGGAGACCCTAGCAGCTGCCCGAGGCCATGAGTGTGGGGGACATGGGGGGGACTTGAGGCTCCCTGGCGGGTCTCAACACGATGGTCCAAGGGATGGTGTTAGGGGTTGGGGGCCGTAGGAGGTGGCGAGGCGTGAAGAGGACGGAAGTCCTCACACCCAGGCCGCACAGCAGAGCGGTCTCACCCTCTCACCCTCCATGTGAGCACACGACAGGGAGCCTTCGGCCCGCACCAGACCCCAAGCCTGTCTCGGCCTTGGTCTGAGACTTTCAGCCTTGAGGACTAGAAGTTTCTGTCTTCATGAAACACCCGGCCTTGGGGACTGTCACAGCAGCACAAGGAACCAGGCACATGCCACTGCAGAGACCACGGCCTATCCGGGACCCCCGAGCCAGCAGCCATGGCCACTGCAGACACCACAGCCTCACCCGCAGGGAC